CCCCCCCCAACTAGCGGCTTGCCAGTGCAAGCTGGGGGAAGGCACGCCTCACTGGCGATTTCGGGCGGTGAGCAGCGTGGCTCCAGCACGGGGGAGAAGGCTGTCCACCCGATCGGTGGGTGCATCTCTGACCCTCCTCTCAGGACCGGAGACCGTTGGCCCATCCATCTCCCATCCCAGACTTCACCCAGGTTACCGACCACGCCGCTCCTCCAGAGACGCTACTTTAGGCCGCCCAGGGCACGTTTCTTCAGACTAGTGCTAGGCGACTAGTGCGCCCATTGCCGATGGATGTGCCTTTTGTGTTCGATGAAGGGTGCCTGCGCACGCGCTCGATTCGTCCTGCTGCGCAAGCCGTCACCTATGTTGGCCCAGATGATGATATATCCCTCAGATTGGCAGGCTGGGCTTCGCTTCGCTTGGCACCATCAGCTCTGTCACATCCGCCGGCGGGCTGGCATTACAGAGCTGATCCCCCAGGTTCCAGCGGCCAAATCACTAATGCACAAGCAAGTCGGAGTCGCATGCTTTTTTTACCTGTCGTGGGGGGAGGGGTCCCGACATCGACGGCGCGGCATGTATCCCAGGTCACTCGCCGCTCTGCAACAGTGGGAGTCTACCGCATCACACGAGTAAATTACGGACAGTGGCTCCGAACTCTGATGACATCGGCCGGTGCTGTGTAGTGCCAGGACTTTGGGTGGGCACAGGTTTGTGACTCGTGAGATGGATCCCCTCCCCCGGTGGGCCTAATCTCGTCCCAGATTCGATTGCAGTGGATCTTGATCATGCCGGCCTAAAAGGAAGGCTAATTATTAGTACGTAAAGCGTGCGGCTTGGTCAGTCTACCTGAATCAGGGCTGTCCCTAGTTGCAGCGCTACCGTCCCCATGGGTGTTAGCCGGTCGTGATCTTTCTTTTTTTCTCGATTGTCCTCACACGCTCATCACATCCCCATGTACCGTGTACGTCGATGGGCGCAGTCTCACCCTCTCTCATCTGTCCTCGGGGGTTAGAGCTGGGGGGGAGGGAAGCGCCTCGTCGTCCATTGTCGCTCCGACCACCCTGGCCAGGGTTGCAGGCAAGCGCCGAGCCACCACCTCGATGCCAGCAACGATTTGCTGTGGCGTGTTGCAGCGCGAGATGGTGTGGTGTGATGGAATGGCATGCACGATCCCCATTGCAGCGCCGTCAATGGCACCATGCACTCACCAGTCCAGTCCGATGTGAGTTCCTCGGCAGGTCACTCGCAGTGTCGTACGGGCCTGCGGGCGATGAGCAGGGAGGGCTGGCCAGGTGTGGTCCAGACTTGTGGAGGCGTCCAGTGCAATTTGTCGATGAGTCGCTCGCTACCCTCAACTAGTCTCTCGGCCTCATCCCCCCTTCCCCTTGATGGGGGGCGGCCGGGGTATGCTGGCCACTGACCACTCCTCATCTGGCTATTTCCCGCTAAAAAGAATGAAAGATGAGATCCAACGGTGTGTGGTGGGTGGCCATGAACCTCCATGCATACATGGCGACAAGCCACTGTCTCGATCGAAAGAATCGGGGTA